AGAGTGGGTCACTGTGGATCAGTGTGGATCAGAGTGGGTCAGTGTGGGTCAGAGTGGATCAGTGTGGATCAGTGTGGATCAGAATGGATCAGTGTAGATCATTGTGGGTCAGTATGGATCAGTGTGGATCAGAGTGGATCAGAGTGGGTCAGTGTGGATCAGAGTGTGTCACTGTGGATCAATGTGGATCAGAATGGATCAGAGTGGGTCAGTGTGGATCAGAGTGGGTATGTGTGGATCAGAGTGGATCACTGTGGATCAGTGTGGATCAGAGTGGGTCAGTGTGGATGAGTGGATCAGTATGGATCAGAGTGGGTCACTGTGGATCAGAGTGGATCACTGTGGATCAGAGTGGGTCACTGTGGATCACTGTGGATCAGAGTGGATCAGAGTGGGTCACTGTGGGTCACTGTGGAACAGTGTGGATCAGAGTGGATCAGAGTGGGTCGGTGTGGATCAGAGTGGGTCACTGTGGATCAGTGTGGATCAGAGTGGGTCGCTGTGGATCACTGTGGATCAGAGTGGATCACTGTGGATCTGTGTGGATCAGAGTGATCAGTGTACACTCTGTGCTCTGTTCTGTAAGGAACCAAACAGCTTCTGAGCTGAGTAACTTGGAACACGGTGGTCTGAAGGACAGTTTGGAGAAGTGTGATGGCAGTCTGACGAGCGGTGATAAGATTAAAGACGTCACATGAGCTCTGCACTGTTTCAGTGTTTCCATAATCCAAGGTCTGAGCGAGGCTTTGGAAGCACTCATGCTTCCTGATGAATGAAGAAGTAACATTTCTGTTGACGAGAACAGAGACATCTATAAAAGTGACCGTGTGGATTTAATCATGAAACACGAGGTGGTGGGCGTGAAGCCCAGAGGGGAAACAAGACGAAGGCTCCTGATCATGGATGAGATGTTAGACGACAAACTGCTCAAAGAGCTGCTTTCAGTTTGGTGTGGATCTGGAGCTGCTGCAGGATGTGACCTTCAAGCACTGAAGATACGTTTGGAAATCAACAAAGAAGATAATCAAATCAAACAACTGTTGAAGGAACTTGGACGTATTTGAAACAAGACTGAGAGTTTTGTAACAAACGATAAAAGATTATGATGTCTAAATGATGGAAGCCCTGACTCAGCACTTCAGCTGCTTCTGAACGAGTCCTTAGATGTTTGTTGAGGCTGTGCTGGTCGTAAAGACGGGGCGTCTCGTTCCCTAGACAAAGAAGCTCAGGGGGAACTGATGGAGTTCCCTCTGAGCTTCAACCCTTCACTGGGGATCAGCGGAGTCCAATCCTGGTCTTCGGGGTCCACGATCCTGCATGTCTTAGTTGTTTCCTTGCTCCTCAGCAGGTCTTTAAGTTCTGCAGCAGCTTGGTTCATTCATTCATCTTTTAAAGTGAGGTTCTGTAGAATGACCAAGAGCAATTATCTTACCTGCTGCTGATAGCTTCGTGACCAACGGCAGTTTGGAGAACATGAGATTATTGTGATCGCTACATTGAGCTAACAGCTAGTTTGAGCTGAGATAAGGCAAAGTGGATTATTTTGATGTCCTCTTCTGTTCAGGGTCAGTTTGTCCTGCTCTCTGAAGTTCTTCTTACATGTCGATAACAAAACACAACAACTCGAAGAACATGGACACACGTTTTCTTCACTGCGCTGTGGAGATACTGAGAAGTGGAGCACAAACTTTAACACACATATAGTCTGTGCTGTAAAAATACAAAGTGATCAAAGTATTGGTTGAGATTGTATCAATGAATGGACCAGTGGAGAAAACATCTGGATCAAGACGACCTCAGTGAATCACTATAAAATGTTTTCATATTGAAATCAACATCAAATGTTGGTTAACTCATCAGTTCCACCATTTTCTTCCAAACTCATGTTGTTCAAAGAGCTGTCTTCAACAGGTAAGATATTAATTGTGTATAACCTTTCCACAAACCCCACCTGATAAGATCTTTGACTTTGTATTTCCTGGCAAAGTGTAACTGAGGAGTCCACAGGAGCTGCAGAGTTCCCTGTTCTCAAACTCTCCAAAAGTTTAAATACATAAAAACTGCTGTCTGCTTGATGAGAACTCCTCCCAGTGGTGAAACTGGACCATTACAGAGAGTGAGCTGGGCTTCAACTCCAATCCCAGACTGCACCAAATAAAGGAATTAAAAAAGTCCCAAACCACGACTGAGAGTTTCAATGAGAGCAGGACTCACACGACGCCAACATTTATTGTTTCGGTCAAGCCACACAACACAAACAAAGATGGGCGGGGCCAGTTCAGCAGAGAAAACATCAAAGCTTTGGTTCCTCTGCTGTCATGAGAGCTTTAAGTACTGAACGTGCAAGTTGTGCACACGTGCACTCACATAATGTATAAATACTCTTCACAGTTTATCCAACACATGCAGCCTGGAGTCACAAGCAGAGAGGAGTCCCTCAGGTCCTTCGTCTTACAGAGAGAACACAAAAAGTGCAGAAGACCAAACAGCTTAAAGTCCAAACGTCACCACGACAGCTGAAGGACAAACGATAAAAGCTACAGAGCTCATCCACCGATCACGACTGAGCTTACAATCAGCGGTGGACGTGATGTGCACCGCAAGAGGAACGAGTGGAGCAGCAGCTGGGTTCTTCATGTTCTTCATGTTCTACATGTTCATGTTCTTTAAGTTCTTCCAGTTCTTCATGCTCTTCATGTTCTTTGAGTTCATGTTCTACATGTTCTTCATGTTCTTCCTGTTCTACAGCGCCTCAGCTCCATCAAGCCTCAGTCAAACCACCATGGAAGAGTCTGGAACCTGCGCCCACCACGGGCTGGGTGTCCGTAAACACTCAACGTGCACACACCTCAGAAATCAGGGGCCCGAGATGAGCCGAAGGTCGGCACAAACTCGCAGCTGAAGGAGAACGTCAGGTTTGTGTTGTTTCATCGCTCGCTCCACTCTGGGTGGAAACATTCAAACTTATTCACGTCACTGTCCTGGAAACATTGGCTCCTCAGGACCTGGTTCGGTGAGTTTGTCCCCCCCCCCCCACACACACACACAAGAAGGCAAACAGTTTTTAGCTTATATAAAGACAATAAATAACGCTGTAATAAGAATATTAGTGCGATCACTTCAACTGTTGACAACATTATCCTCTTACAACCTCCTAATTATCTTATGCTGTAAATTATTTATTGTCTGTACTAAAACAAATTAAATTATAATAATTTAAGCTCCATTAGTTGTGAACATTGTTTTATTTACTGTTAAATATTTAATATTAGTTTTTGAATGCTCGTGGTGAAAACCTTGATAAATTTAAAACGTATACTAAAGTATTATTAAACAGTTTAAAAATTAAATGATGTAGTATTAAATAAATAAACTGATAAATCTGTGCAGCATCTGAGCATTCTGTTGAGCTAATATCAGAGGTTATAGTTAAAATGCTAACTTTAGCAAAATGCTAACATTAGCAAAATACTAACATTAGCAAAATGCTAACATTAGCAAAATGTTAACATTAGCAACATCTTCTGGAGTCAGTCTGAATCAAAACGGCTAAACGCTATTAAAAAAAAACAATTAACTAATACACATAATGTGGGATGTGGTAGTAGCTGAGAGTCATCCCAAACACGTACTCTGAGCATTTCACAACATTAATATTTAAAGCTTTAGCATCACGGGAGGTGGTGGGTGACAAGCTTCAAGGAATGCTGGTTCGTCTTATTTAATTATATATTTTTAAATAATGACACTTTTTAACCTTTGCCGAGCTAACAAACTGTTAATTAATGTTAATTAACTGATTAATTAATGCTGCATTTTCACCTTGAACACATTTTAGGGTTTAATTCTTTCAGGGCTGTCTCCCCTCCATACAACTGAGGATAATAACATAAAGTTCATTATGTTGGTAAAGATGCGGACTTCATGTTATAAACATTACTTACGTGTTCATATTTCTCATTTTGAGCATTTGTTTGTAATCTGACTCTGGATTAAAACAACTAAATTGATTTTCTCCCGTCATTTCTGTGCTCTGGTGTTTTTGTGGAAGATGGCAGCTTCTTGCAGTGAATACCTAAAGATTTTTTAAACCTGTCAACATCTGCAGGGGTTTGTTTTGCTCATCAGCTGATTCAACAGAAACAGTTTGTTTGTTGACCCCAGCGCTGCAGGACAGGTTTAACTTCACTGGAGCATCTGGTTCAAATTGACTGTCAGCAGCA